AACAAAGAATAAAAAGGTCTAATGTATGTGAATTTGAAGGCAGAAGAAAGAATGGGAAAAACTAGTAAATAACTAAAAAATTATAAGATTTCAATGAACAATTACAAAATTACTAAGAACCCCAGCAAGTTTGACACCAAATAAACAACAATATAGTAACATCAGAACAAGGTACTTCATAGAAAAAACTTATAAAATAAGAAGAAAATCCTAAAAACAACCCAAAGTAAAGACAAATTGCATTCACAGGAATAATAATGTTGGCTAATTTTTCAACAGAAATAACAGATACCTGAAGATAATGGAATAATGTTTTAAAATGCCCAAGTGCAGAATTCAATACTAAGATAAAATATCCTTCAAAACGGTGACAAATTTAAGATATCCTCAGACCACTAAAAACTAAGGATTTGTCACCAGCAAACTCTCACTAAAAATAAAATAAAAGTCTAATAAAAGTCTTACTGGGCATAAGAAAATGATTTCAGATGAAAGCATGGCAATACTGAAAAAATAAGAACAGTGGAAAAAGTAAACATGTAGGTAAATAAGAATAAATATGATTGCTTTAAAATAAAGCAATAAAACTATCTGGATTAAAATGCATAACAATTACACTAAAGGTGTAAGGAGGTACATAGAATCAAAGCACAATAAGGTATACCTAGTACTGTATTACTATCTAGTACTGCATTCACCCAAAAGAAATCAAAACATGTCCACAGAATGGCCTGTACACAAATAAATAGAAGCACTATTAGACCTGAAGCATTATTAAATATCAGTATTAGTATACTAAATATATAGAAGCACTACTAGTAATATCCTGAAACTAGAAACAATTCATTGATCTACAGGTAAACCAATAAATTATGACATATTTATACAATGAAATAATACTTAGTGGGAAAAAATAGGCTAAAAGATGGATGGATAACAGACACTACTTTGAGCAAAAGAAGCCAGATTACATGATTCCATTTATATGAGATTCTAACTGCGCCAAATAACTTATGACACTAGAAGTCACAGCAATGGTTATCTTTGGAAGTATTAGGAGCCAGGAAAAAACAGAAAGTTCTGGAAGTTGATGATATTCCATTTCCTGATCTGACAGTCCACAAACATCCAAGGAAATTTATCAAGCTCTACACTTACCTATATGTACTTCAGACATACAGAAAGTTATAGAAACAAAATAAGGCCATATCTGCCATCAAGATTAAAAGGCAAAACATTACTGGACCCTCCCTGATGGCACAAAGAGTTAAAGCATAGCACTATGAAGCTTTCTGTAGCCACTGAAGCACAAGTTCAATCCCCAGCCAGTGAGGTGACCCACTGGCCTCTCCTGTCTCACCCACTGCACTCCTCAGCAGTGTATCTCAGTAGATCCATCTGTTCTGTTCCACACTCTGCCTCTGGTAAATCTTCTCACCCCACCCCGCACCTCTGGCCTGTACCCCAGTTCTTGTATGCTTAAATAAATAAATCTTTTTTAAAAAAGATAAAACATGGCCCTCCCTGGTGGCGCAGCAGGATAAGCACAGCACTAAGAAGCTAAAGCCACTTCCACATGACTTCGATTCCTGCCTGCCCTGGAGGTGACCACATGCCTTGACAGACCTCTCCTGACCAGCCCGCTGCTCCCCTCAGCAGTGTACTTCATTGATCTGCCTGTTCTGCTCCCCACTCTGTCTCTGGCGAAGCCTCTCACCACCCCTGAGCCTCTGGCCTGTACCCCAGTTCTGTATGTACAAATAAATAAATCTTTAAAAAAAAAAGATAAAACATAATTAATATAATTGATATGTTGATTATTCCCTGATTATACCTCCACCACCCCAGCAGAAATCTCAGGAATGATGCTCTCCATTCCTCTATACTCTTAGACAAGCTTCCCTAAATAGCTTGTAGAATTGTTTTCCATTTTTCAAGCTGTATATAAAAGGCAATTTTTTATTATTTTTAAAAGATCATTCTGAAAGAGGAACAAGAAAACTTCCTGAGATGACAAAAATATTCCATATATAGAACGGCCTGTTAGCTACATAGGTATAGAGTTGTTAAAACTCACCAAATTGTAGCTTCAATATCTGTGCTGTTCATTATAGACAAATTTGATCTCAAAATAATTTTTTAAACAAACTAATCATTCTAGTTTCTCTATAGACAAGGGATGAGGAGTGGAGAGAAATGAAACTAGGAAGACCTGCTGGAATATTGCTGCAGACATGGTTAGTGTCAAGTTCATCCATGGGAGGGCAAGGGAGCAGACCCGTCCTTTGAGCTGTGACGTGGAGGGGAAGTGAGTCCTAGCCCTTAAGGATAGAAGGTCAGGCTTGATCCAGTAGAGAAAAACTGAAGATAAAGAACTGATGAGAGCTCAAAAAGGAGGGGGAAACTCCTCAAGGTGAGAGGGATTGGATAAGAAGGGCAGGTGGTTTTGTTTTTGCTGGGACACAATGTCCTGTTGCTTTTAAACTGGAAGACAGTCCAAAGGGTGCAGAAGAAGGAAAGATCATTTGGTGGTGGAAAGATAGAGGAGTTCCCATTTAATGACAGCTTTTCTTTCCAGGAACCTGAGTCATGATCTGCAAAAGGTGGGCTTGGGAGTGCTGAAGCCTGTGAAGAAGAATGGCACCACACTACCCAGGGGAGCGCTGATAAAACTTCTCACTATGTTGAGGAGAGGTTACAAAAACCCAAAGGCTTTTGATTTCTATCCATTCAGGACAGGTTACATGCCCAACTGACATCCAAAACCTCACAAAAGCAGGAAAATTGTTTCTGGATTAAGCTGCACAAAGCAGACTGGAATCTATAATAAGCAGAAGAAATGAGTAAATGAATGAATGATGATTAATTTTTTTCTATTTTCTTAGCACATTTTTAATTATTGATCATATTTTACAATGGAACTTTGAAATCAAATGACATTTTCCTTTTTTCTTCTAAGTTCTGTGTGTCCTTGGAAAAAAAGCAATGTGCATCTTTCAGTGTTATCAATTTTTTTTATTTCTTTTCTAAAGAAATATTCACCTTCTAAAATAAATGTTAAACACAATTCGCCAAGGGAAAAAAATTAACATAGAGTAGCTCTATCTTTGTATTATCACAATTTGTGACATTCACAAGGATATAGTTAAAGAAATAAGACACTCTTGCCAAGAAGGATTAACCTTACGCCTGTATTCAAAAAATTCCTGCTGCTGTTAAGTCACACAGGCCCAGAAAAAAGAAATCCTTTAGCTCATGTACAGGAATCTCAGGGTGGTCCAGGCCAAACCTGAATGCTTCCAGAAGAACAGAAACACTGGCTGTCTTTAGAAACAAGTTAGCACATTGTGATGTTTATCACTCACCAATTATGAAATGAAAGGACAAGACTATAAATGCATTACTTGCAGCACAAATTGTTATGTGCTTTATTACACTCAGTTCCATTGAAAAAGAGTCCATTCATGCAAAAAGCACTATTATGGTTGGCTAAGCAGCCAGATTCCTGTGCTTATAATTCATGGATATACTTACTATGTATATCAAGTGTACTCTCCCAGTTCCAGTTGCCACAGCCATATTGTGAATACATATGTTTCTGTCGCTCTTAACTACAGAAATTCAGCTGTCAAGTTTGGAGCTGATATTCTCATATATGCAGTTCATGTTCTAGTCTTAAAAATAATTCCTTGTTTGCTATCAGAAGCTCTTTCAATGATGTGCAAAATGGCAGGATTCAAACTCTTATAAAATATATCTTCAACCACATGCAACCACCATGTGATTTTTTCCTTGAAAATATTCCCTTGCCTACCCTTCTCTGTATTCAGTAATTATAAAGCCTGATCAAACAGTAACATAGCAGGGCATGTTAAGTACCAACTAATGTCAAAACCAGTGTTTACAGGGAGGAAAAAAAGGAAAATCTCGGTTTCATGCTAGAGCATCCTTTGAGGCACTGTCATTTTCAACATGGAGGCATTGATTATTTCTCCTGTGCTGAAAGGGCTACCATTTAAAGGTTAGACAGGTCCACTAAGAAAATAAGCAGGCATTTCTTTGTACCATTAAGCGCAACAGGATACCAGTCCTGGGCCAGTTTTAAAACACCAACAGAATTCTGAGTGTGAATATCAAGATTCAATATTTGAGTTTCAAGAGAAACAAAGAGTGAGCTGTCCCATGGCCAAAGAGCATTGGGACCATACTTCAAGTTGTCAACTGCACAGTATTTCAGGGGGCCAAAGACCAGCTCCATTGCAAAATCATCCAGTAAACCTAGAGTATGAAGAAAACCCTGGTGGGGGGAGGGTTCTTAGTCCAGTCTGACACCTTAGCCAGGAATTTTTTCTCCGACATCCCTGACAGATGGTCAGCCTCTGTTTCAACTACTCCAGTGGGGTCCATACGAGAAAATTCCCAAGAAATACGATGAGAGGCTAGAATCAACCATTCAGACAGGGAGTAAGGTTCCAGTCAGCAAGTCTGCAGGAGACAGACAGCATTGCCAAACAGTGAAACCAGACTTCCAAAAGAAAGCCACTTAGAAACTGCAACCGTCTTAATAGACAATGTTAAGACTTAGGGATCCTCAATTCTGACATCTTTAGGTCCATTCACTGGCCTGGACAGCAGCTCCTAGAACTGGGATAGCAAGTAGCTTTCATTCTATTGATTTCTTAAAGTAAAATGACTTTGTAAGGCTCACAGCAAGAGCTGTTCTTCATCCTGTAAAAACTAAACCCAGGGACCCACCCCCTGGTGGAACAGCTAATGCTTCAAGTACTCTTACTTTGATCTTAAAACCTTCCCTTCAGTAAACCAGAACATTTCTGGGCTCTTCTTTCTAAGACGTGTATGAACTGTGCTGTAACTGAAGTCGCCTGGCTGGTGTCAGGGCTCATGTGTTGGGTTGATGTTTTAAGTGCGGCCCTTTGTCCCGCGGTGAAGTCTGGCTTCACCTCTCGGGAAAGACCCCGGGATGAGCGGCCGACCCTTACCTGTCGATGCTGATCACGCACAGAGTCATGATCGAGGCTGTGCAGCACATGACGTCCATGGCGATGAAAACGTTGCAGAAAAAGTGGCCAAAGATCCACTTGCCGCCAATGAGGTCGGTGACGCTGACGAAGGGCATGACCGCCACGGCCACGGAGAGGTCGGCCAGCGCCAGGGACACGATCAGGTAGTTGGAGGGCTGGCGGAGCTTCTTGACGAAGCACACGGAGATCACCACTAGGCAGTTGCCAGCGATCGTCAGCAGCGTGATGAGCGTCAGAATGGAGCCGATCACAACTTTCTCCACTCTGCCGTAGTTGATCTGTTCCCCGCAGCCAGAAGCATTGTCCGGGGTTGTGTCCCAGGTGGGCACCGGGCTGGCCGTCACCTCGGGGACCCCGCCCAGAAGGTGAGGCGCCCAGGAGCCCGCCACCGGGCTGGCGCCGTCGGGGCTCAGGTCGGGCAATCCGCGCCCCACCTCTGGCAAGAGGAAAGAGCGGAGGTGCCCGTAGAGGTCCGGGCGGCCGCTGCTGTTAACGTCCATCATCGTGCCTCTGGGCTCCGCTGCCCATGGAGCCGGCGCCCCGGCCACGCGCTCAGGCTCCCGGCCCTAAGGCTTCACTTCACAGGTTCCGCTCCGCCCGGCCCAGCCATGGGGCCCGCGCCGCCGCTGGGGGGCGCCCCGCAGGGCCTCGCCGCCCCGCACGTCCCGGGTTCCTTGTCGCTGCGGACCAGGCAGGAGCGCGGTGGCGCGGGGACTCCCTGCGGGAGGCGCCTCGGGCACCAGCACCGACGACGTCTGGACGCGCGGGCTGACGAGGGCGCTCAGCTGTCAGCTCCGAAGCCAGCAGCCGGCAGCCGGCAGCCCGCAGCCCGCAGCCCGC